TATATATATAATATATATATATATATATTTATTTTATTTTTTCTTTTATCATTATTATTATTATTTATATTTAATATATATGTAACTTTTAGTTTATATTATTTTAAAAAGCTATTATTATCTTAAATAAAAATAAGATATTTATTCATTTAAAATTTTTTATCCAATTTTTAATATTGTTCTAATGTTTTATCTTTTAACTATTTTTAAATATAAAAATTTTATTAAATAAAACATAATACAATATAATAAAATTTAAAGTTATTTTGCAATCTTTGTTAATTTATTATATATTTTAAAAGACAAAAATTTTTATAATTCTAATCTTAATAATTACTATTTAATAAATTAACTTATATTTAAAAGTTAAATTCACAATAACATTATACTGTAAATACTTTAAAAATTATAATCTTATTAATTTCATATATATATTTATATTTTTTCTAAATTATTAATTTAAAATAAATTTTTGGGAATACATCTTTATTTTTTTTATTTTAAATCTATATATGTTAATTATTTTTTTGTTTTAAATTTAATATTAAATTTAATTTTATTTTTAAAGTAAAAAAGAACAATTTTTTATTTAAAATCCTCAAAATAATAAAGTTTTAAACATTAATTTATTATTAAAGCATTTATATTTTCCCAATTATAATATATTTAAATTATTTTAAAACTTTATATTCTAGTTATTATTGATAAAATTAAATTCATTTGATTTAATATTTTTATATTTTTAATTTATGAGATTTTTTATACTTTTTTATATATTTTTTAAAATAAAATTTATAGATTTTTCTTTTATATATTTAATTTATTTTTTGTTTAAAATTCATTTATACTAATTTGCTTTAATTTATTATATTATGTTTTTTCTTATTTTTTTCAGTTTATTGAGCTGTTTTTAAATTCGATTTTTTTTTTTTCGAGTAGATATATTTGTAATGTTAAAATCATGATTTATCTTTTTATTTATTATATATAAGAAAAACAACTCCTTTAAACACTTTATATTTTTTCATAATATTCTATTAATATTCTACTATTTTTCCTTGTTTAATTTTTGTTTGTTTTTGTAATTTATTTATTTAATAAAGTTTTTTTAATATTTTTATTTTTATAATTTGTTATATAAAATTAATATTAATTACTAAAATTTAATAGTTTTTAAACTTTTGATTAAAATAATATTCAATTTATTTTAAATAATATTTTTTAATTTAAATATACTAATATATACCAATTATATTTATTAAAATGCATTTTTAAATTAGATTTATAAAATATTAGTCACCAATATATGTTAAAATTAATATATATAAATTATATATTTAATATATTTTTTCTAATATATGATTTAATTATATTAATAATATATCCATAATATTTTAAAATACAAATAAAACATTAAAAAATTGTAATAACATAAATATCTATTTTATAATATTTTTTTATTAAATTAAAACATTATTTAAACATACAAACATTTTTTATATAATAATAATGTAGATTTAAAAAATCAGCTTGGAAATACTTGATTTTAATTAAGAATTTAGTAGCCCTAAATAAAGTATAATTTTCAATAATAAAATAAGATCTTTAAACTAAAATCCAAATTTTCTAAATAAATTATTTTGTGAAAAGCCTATCTTATACTTTGTAAAACAAAAAAAGTTATCAATAATTGAAGATTCCTTAGAAATAAATAAACACTTATCTTTCAATAATAATCTAAAAAGGAAGAAAACTAACCTTATAAGATTCTGTTAAAGTATGAAACAAATACCAAGCCAACAACGTCATATTAAATTTAAACTTAAAAAACAAAAAACATTAATAGTAAAAATAAATAATAGATAATCTTTATAATATATAGAAAACAAATAACATAAAGACTTTTAAAAAGATGATGCCAATAAATTAAAAATAATATAATATTTAAAAAATTTAGACGACGAATAAATTTTTAATCATACAAATTTTAGATTATTTATTGTTTTTATAATATCATTATTAAGTAGTATTATTTTAATTATTTTAATGAACTCTTTCAATAATGGATTGATTTTTTGTTTTTTAAATTGTTCTCTATATTCATTAACCTTTAGTTTTCTGATTTATTTTTTAACACACTAGCATTAATATTCTTTAATTAATAAATAAAAAAATAATTATATATATATTATATAAAAATCTATTTTTTTTGGATTTACTATTTGTATTTCGAACTTATGGGGCTTTTTTTTTATTTTGAAATAATTTAAAATAATAAAAATTTATTCCAACTCCTTAATTATGGGGTCGGATTTTTTTTTATTTTTATTTATTTATCTTTCCAAAATAAATAAGTCCTATATAAAAGAGTTTAATTTAAACTTTATGGTGATACTATTGCAAGAGGAAAAACGCTAAATGAATCATATGCCTTTTAAAAGATTATTGCTACTTAAAATTTATCAAATAATATAAGTACTAGTTATATATATGTATTTTTTTATATATAATTTTTGTTAGATTTTTAACCAGATGAAATTGGACTAAAAATTAATAGTAAAATATTTATTTTTTCTATTATATTTTGTGTTTATTTAATTGAAAGTTAAGTAAATATTTCTTTATTTTATAATATATATATATATATATATATATAGCTTTATTATGCTATTAATTAGAATTTTATTTTTTAAATAAATGTAGTCTTTTTATCCATAATATATAACTTTTTTAGTGAGTTTATTGGTTTTATAATTAAAAAAATTAACTTTTTTATTGATTTAGAATATTAATACTAATTAGAGTTTGTAAGATATATTTTTTCTTCTGCAATTTTCAAGATTTTGTATATTTTGAATAAAAAAAATAATTCCTAAGGTTTTGCTATTATTTTTTCCAGATTTTTTTTTAAATTAATATATTTATTTATTTATCGTGTTAATTATATAGTTTTTAATAAAATATGGAGAAAACTTATATTTTTCATCTCATTTTAGAAATAAATAGAATTTAAAAGTAATTAAAGGAAACATTTTTATAAAAAATTCGCAATTTACTAATTGACAGATATTTGTAATTTATTTATATTCACTATTAGTATTATTATAAAAACTTTTTTTGATACAATATAAAAGTAAATACCTTAATATGATTAATAATGGAAAACAATTAAATATTATTTATTTCTTTTTACATTAGAATTTATTTTTGAAATTTCTTTTACATATTTTATATTAAATATTTTAGGCTAATTTTAATAATTTGAAGGTTTTTCGCCTAAATATATTATAGAACAAATAAAAATTATTATTTCATAAAATAGCTCTATTATTATTTTAGCTTTTATAACTGTATATTCAAATTTTTTTATACTATTATAAAATTAATATATAGATCTGAATTATTGAATATATTAAAATTTTAATTTTTATATATAAATGTTATTATATAAAAAAAAAACTTTTAATTATATATGAATATATTTATATATTAATTTTTATATTATAAATTAAACAAATTTAAATATATATTTCTATAAACAATTATATTTTATAATTATTTATCATTATTTTAAATTAAATATATAATAATTTTATTTTATATTGTCTAAAAAAATAATTAATAGATAAAATTTGTTTTATAATTATAATAATTATTTTAATAATTTGTTTAAATAATAGAAAAAAATTATTAATTTATAAATAAAAATATTTATAATTAAATTACATTTACAAATTAATTTTATTTATTAATTAAAATTATTATTTTCAGAAGGAAATAACATTTAATGAATCTTCTATTAATAAAATTTAAATAAATATAAAATAAGAATATTAAATTTTTAAGGTATCTAGAAAAAGATGTCAATTTAATATATCCATAAATTGCAGATAGTAAATGAAAATAATACTTTCTAATATAATTTTATCAAAAAATAGAACAATGTAAATAATCTAAAATAAAATAAATGTTAGTTAAATATAATGAAGCATTTATCATTATAATAATATTTATTTAAATAATTTCATTTTTATCTTTATCCGAGTAAATAATATATATTTATTTATATTAAATAAATAAATATAAAAGTGGTTCTTATAATTAAAGAATAATATTTCGAATAATAAATGAAATAGTTTCATTATTAATAACAATAAAATTTTATTTGAACTTTAAATACTTAAAAAATTTATATTTAAATAATAAATATTATGGTAATATATAAATATTAAATATTTATATATATAAAAATTAATATAAATGAATAAAGGTTATTTATTTTTCTATTTGGATCTTGCCAGTGGTCCAGTAGCATTATTTATGGATTTAATTTTAATTTGTTTAGGACAAAATGTAGCTAGATTAATATACGTAGATGCTTTTAGAATGATGAAATTTTTTTGTTATGAAAAATTAAGGTTAAATAAATAAATAAATAAATATATAAAAATCAATACTATATGTATATGATATATGATATATATATATATTTATATATATATATATATGTATAATTAAATATATTTTTTTATAAATTTTACATTTTTTTTTTATAAAAACTCAATAAAAAAAATAAGGAGATAATTCTTTTTTTTCTTATATTGAGTTTTTATAAAAAAATAAAGGAATAATTCATAAATTATTAAAAAATTATATATATATAGAATCATAATTAAAGACATTATTTATATAATGAAAAAATCCAAAAAAATATTTTTTTCTATGCTCTTTATATTCTATATGTTTTCTTATTATTCATTTAAATTATTTAGAGAAGTATTGCCTATGCATTTTTAAACTATATTTCATTCCTTATTAACTATGTTTTAAGTTTTTAAATAAATATATAATATAATATATATATATATATATATATATATTTTATATTTAAATTCTTCATAATTTTTTATTATTTTATTATAATTTTTTGCATAATAATTAATTTTAATAATATATACTTTTATATTAATATATATTTTATTTTTTATAGGTTATTACTTATGACTGTTGGAATAGTTAAATAAATATTCCTATTATGTAAAAAATGGGTAATTGGTGGTGTATTTATTTTATAGTTTATATTTTTTTACTTTAATACTTTTTTTTAATTTCTTTCTTAGTGTATTCGTCACATACTACAGCAATAGAAGCTACCGAGTTAATTTTGTAATTTTTTTTTTTTATTAAATTATTATAAATAATTTTTTTAGATTTATAAAAATTCATTAGATGAAAAAAATAATCTAAAATTAATAGAATAAAATCAAAAATACATAAAATTAAAAAATTTAATTAAATAATTAAAATTTAATATACCCATTTATCCACTTAGTTTTATCTAAAAAATAATGATTTCTTATAAATATTATTATATAATTACTAAAATTATATTAGATATAATATAAGTTAGTTTTGGATTTTATAATACTTATATGTATATAATTAATTTAATATTTGAGTTATTTTTTGGAGTATTAATGATTTGTGAATTTTACATAAATGTATAAAAATAAATAATACTTTTAAAAATATCTAAAAATCATATAAATTAAAATTAGTATAAAAAACATAAGATGAAGTAAAATAAATTCAGAATAATGATAAAAGATTTAAAATTAGTAATTCCTTTTATATGTGGTGTATGTGGATTTCTAATAGATTTAATTTTTTATATTTTAAATGAATATTCTTTAGATAAAGGATCTAGTATTCGACTTTTAATTTTATTAACAACATCAGAATGTAAATTTGCTTTCAAAAAATTTCTAATAGTTTTAAATAAAGTAAATATATGAATATATAAAAATATATTTATTATAATAGTATTTTATATATGTATATATATATTTTTTTATTTTTCACACATATAGATATACGATATAGGATTTATAAACTTATCTTTAATGTACATTTTAAGTATAATAGCTTTTTACACATTAAATGATATATAAAATCAATTTTAATTTTTTTTTGTTGATATTACCTATTCTTTCTTATTTGTAGTATAAACAATTACTTTTGATGCTTGGGGAGATATAGCTAGGGCAGCTTTATTAAAAGTAAAATTTTTTATACATTCAAATATCAATTTTATATTTATATAAGAATGCTGGATTTTCTATATATTTCGGATTTATAATTATTTTTGTAGGATTTTTTTTATAAAATTTATTAGTTGGTATTATTGCGACTACAGTATAGCCTGCTACTGAATAAGCATTTAAATAATAAAGAATTTTAAATAAATTAGTTCCAAAAACTTATATAAATATACTAAGTGAGTAATTAAATGATATATCAATAGTTAAAGAAAGACATTCGATTTAAATTGATAATTAAAATGATATTATTAATGATAATTTATAGTTGAAATCTAATTAAAATTCATTAAAAGAAATGCTATAAGAATTCAATAATAGTTAAGAAAATTTAATAATTATTATAAACGGGATCAAATATACTATAGAAAACAAAAACCTTATTAATTATATTTCTTGAATTTTTTATTTTTTTAAACAAAACAAAATAAAACAACTTTAAATTATAAAATATATATATAAATAAAGGAATATAATATTAAAATAAAAAGAAATATATATTATGATCTATAATATTATAAAATAAATAAAAATATAGTATTATTTATTTAAAAATTAGCCATAAAACAGAAATAAGTATGTTTTTTTTATTATATTTGTACTATTTTTTGGAGAAAAAAAGCACCTTTATTTTATACAAAATAAGTAATTTTTTATCCATAAATAATTTTTACTATTAAACAATTAAAAATCATTAAAAAAAAAAAAAACTGAGACACTTTTTTTTTACTTAATACATTTAAAATATATTAAAAATATCCATTATATTTATTTTACATAAAATTTATTCTTATTAGTCTAATATATCGTCTGTAATTTTTTTAACTGATATTTATAATTTTTTATAGTCTTTTTTGTTTATATATATATTTTTTATTACTAATTTACTATTTTATAGTATTTATTAAAAAATGTAAAAGATTTAATTATCTTAAAAATTTTTTATTTTTTTAATAAACAAAAATTATTTATAATGTTAATTTTTTTTTTCTTTTGGTAAATTGTATATTAATACAAAATTATTGGCCTTAAAAAGTACTTTAAATATATTGGTTTTACTTTTAAAGGTCATATATATAAGGTGAAGTGTATGGAAGTTTTTATTAGTTTATATATTGAAATTATTTTCAGGTTCAAATTTTTATATAGTAAATTAAGAATTTAATTATTAATTTTGTCTATATATAGAATATAAAATATTATTAGTTTTAAAGAAAATTTAATATATTAATATTAAAAAATGGTTAAAATAGAAAAAATAATAAAAAGAAATTACCTTAAACTAAAAAAAATTTAAAAAGTTTAAAAAAAATAAAAATATATATAATCTGATTTAGATATATAATTAATAAATGATTTAAAAAAAAACAATCTTATATATTTTAAACATAAGTAAAGCTTATTAGTCAATATATTTATGAAAAATAAGATTTTAATAAAATAAAATACTAAATATAATAGATTTTTAGTTTAATTAATTATAAATATAATATTTATGACAATAATATGTTTATTTATTATATTTTTTTTATCTTTTATTAATAATGATAATGAATAAATATAAGATTTAGAAAAATTAAAGTATATAAAAGATAAAAAAATGTATTTAAAAGTATTTTTATAAAATAAATTATAATAAAAGTAAAAATAATATTTTTTTTTGGATTCTTAAATAAGACTTTTGTATTTATTTATAATAATTGTTTTATATTTTTTTTTAAGAAGAATTTTCGGAATATTGTAAAAAATAAAAAACGAGAAAAAAAGATAATAATTATTTTAGAATTTAAAATATTTGTAAATTAATTAAAAATAAGATATATTTAAAAACAAATAAAAAGAAATTTATTAATTAGAAAATATTAAATATATTTAAAATTAATATATCTAATAATAAAAAATAGAAAAAATTCTAAAAAATAATCTAATATAAGAAATATAAAAAGAAAATTATTTAAAGGGATTTCAAATATATTATATAAATTATAAATTAAAAAAAATATGAATGTGAAATCAAACATTAAAAATAATTCAGCTTATAACAGAATATAAAAGATAAAAATAAATAAATATAAATTTATAAAAAAAATATATTTATATTTAATAAATATATATATATAAATAAATAAGTATAATAAATTCTATTTAAAATTAATTTAAAAAAATTTTACTATATAAAAATATTAAAAATAATTATTATTAATCTAATTTATTAAATAAAAAAATATAAAAATAATATATAAATGCAAAAAAAAAAATTAAACTAAAATAATTATTAAATATTATATTCGAATAATAGATATATAAAATATAAAAACAAAAATAAAAATAAATATAAAAAAAAAAAAAAATTATAATAATAATAATAATAATAATAATAATAATAAT